TAAGCAATACTGAAAATGAGCGGAATCTTTTGTGAAGCTTCCCTTTCCCAGTCACTCCTAACAAAAAGAACCTTCTGTAGGAAGGCTACAAGCTACTAGAATTTCTAGGAAATGATTTTATGTAACTTAAGTTCAACCACTCAACTGAGTCATACACAAACATTTCTAAACTTAACCCTGTTCATGACTATAGCATCAGAAAACTGAGAACTACATCTTATAGTAAAGACTCATCTTAAACTATAATCTGAATAGAGCAGATGATTTGTAAAATATATACCTCCCCTCCATCCTCAAAATAAATCTATGTGTGAGCATTTATAAGGAAGAAACCAGACTATATTAAGCCACATGTAAACACAGACTTAAGGAAGAGAAAAAGATTCTTATACTTTAAAGGTGTTCTACAGTGTTAATGACTGAATGAGAAAAAGATAGAATTCATATCACTTCACATTGTCTCTCATCTGTAAAATGGGAATAGCAATGAAAAGGGCTATGCAAGAACTTGCTATTATCATCATCACCAAAAAAAGTTATTAAAGGCACATGTACAGTTATAAAGTTTTTAGACAGCCCCTAAATGCCTAAAACATGCAGTTTCTTTCCAAAGACTTCCAAAGCAAAAGCAGAATAAAATTTGTCAATTCAAGTAAGGTTCTCCTACAAGTATCTCTTTTTCAGAAAAAGTATAATTCTGTGACACTCAAACACCTAAAAACACCCCTCAGAACAAAACATCTGCCTTCTATTAGATAAGCTGACCATATTAGGCATATTCACACTCTGTTTTGGCAGACACAGTCCCATCTGCTTCATAATTGACATAGAAATAATTGAAAATATCAGGACTAAAGTATGAATCAGGCAGATTTACTTGCACGGTTTAATACATTTTATATATTACAAATTTTCCACAAGATTTTAAGACCCTTGCTGAAGTGAAAATCGGACACTATGATGTCAATTGTGTCCATTACTGCCTATATTTGCACACAGTTGACAAATTCTATACACAACTTACCAGTGTTTTAATGACAACTCCAGCTTAGGCAATTTATTTCTGTAGTAGAGTAGTAAAAGAACTAAATCTTTTACATGAGTATTCAAAACAGATATATCATATTACACTAGGTTGACACTCTGAAGTTAAATCCTTAGAGAACACGTCTGAAAGCCACAGACACATGCAGTCAAACCCCAGTCTTGGTTGTTGCCAGAAACTTTAGTGAAAGTGAGATACCTAGATTCATTTACCCTATTTCATGTCCTTGTGCAAAACCAGAATTAAGCCCCAGAAGAAACAACTTGTTGCAAATCACTGATACCTCAAGCTGACTAGCAATGTGTAAGGGAACATACCTTCTGTCAGGACAGAGAGAAAAAAACAAGTGGCAAAAAGAAGACAACTTTCTGAAGGAGAATATTTTAAGTATGCTATGGTCAATTAAAAAATACATGCAAAAGGCAAGGGATGACAGGACCCTTACTATTATAAGCAATAGCACTGTTGGCTGCAGAAAGCTATCACATACATTTTTACTGTTGTATATCAGGTGAAGAGGATGAAAATATAGTCAAAGAACAGAATAATCTCAGTTTGATTGTGCAGAGAATACTGTATATGAATAACAGCTTGCACTGATCAGAAATAGTCTCTCATCTGAGAGGTGGTCCCAGTGACTGACCTCATTAGCTATACCTATTAGTTTCATGAAAGCTAGTAAATTAAGAGATTCAGCCTATAAATATATACACCGCAAGCAGAAGGACAGTTTTCAAGAAACATCTGGTGTTGTTCATGACGGCAAAAGAAAAGCTCATCATAAATATGGACAACTTGATGGATAAACCCACCCTAGATAACCTAGATCTATAGATTAAGGTGGAAGCAGTGGAATCAAAAGCAGCAGATCTCAAGCAGTTTAAGCTGAACATTCTTGAAGATGAAGGATGATACCAAAGAACAAAGCATGAATGACCATAGTTTCTCAACCTTCAGAGTCAAAGCTCATATACATCTGATTCCATCATATGCTTTCCTCATACTGGATCTAGGAATCTAGAAACTTTTCTACCAGAGTCAACAGTTGAAAGTTTCCTTTGGCCAAGATTCAGTTTATATAGTCACATGTTGGAAAACATATCCCAAAGCATATTTTGCCACTGTATACTGTAAAATCTTAGCAGGCAAAAAACACAACTTGAATATCAAACAGATGAGGACATGCATATTTTAAGTGAATATCCAGAGAATGATCAAGCCCTTGACTTTTGGAAGACAGGATAAACTTCAGAACAAAATGGGCTGTGGTCTTAAACCCACACCCTTGTGCATATGCTACTCTAACTTGGGATGATACCGATAGATCTGAGGAGCAAATAAGCAGAGAAGAAACACTGCATCATATAAATGAAACTCCCTTCAAAGGAGCATAGCCCCAAAAGCTGTAAGTTAATGCTGCGAAGCAGAGAACATCACCACAGAGTTGCCTTTGCCAAACTACAGGGCTGGGAGAAAAGACCAGATCTGCTGCCTTAAAGATGCAAGAAGAGAACACCATAGCTCCAATGCGTAAAGAAAAAAGAAGGATCTGGTATGGATGCTTGTTCGCTTACATACCAAAATAATCCCAAGCTGGACTGGGTTCACTTTTCTGCTCCACAATGATGTATCAGTGAGCCAAGACTGTATAGGATACTTGCTCACTTTCAACTCCCCTGCAATAAAAATGTCTACTGTCAGTTCATTTAAAAAACATGTTAACTGTTTAACTGTTGTGTAAAACAGAGTTGAGCATTAGAAGAGTACTGGCACAGTTATTAAGCCTTATTCCCTCAGCACAAGATGGATCACTGAACAACAAACAGGGCAAATGGGAACAATTTAGAAATTAGTTCCTGTTGGAACTTCTCCAGGTGTGTTATCTGTACAACAAATGTCAGAATTTTAGCCTAAAGACAGTTTCACTGACAATACGCAAACACTGTAACACTGATGCGGTCATTAGCAATAAAGATGAATTTTACAACACGTGCAGCCTGATGTATATTAGAAGACAACAGTAAAAGATCTGAGAAATACAAGATCCAACAGAAATGTTCATTTCAAGAGCGTTGTGATCTCTGTGACCAGCAATGAAGTTAATTTGAAGAGCCTTGCAAAGAAGTTCTATCTCATCAAATTATAGGTCAAAGAATGGGGGAAAAAGAGCTCACACATAACAGAGAAACTATATGGCAGAAGCTCTCTATATTGCCTGTGAGTTCTTCTTTCAAAGCTAATCAGAGAATACCATAAATAATCATCTCATGAAAAGATGCACACATCTCATCTCTTGTATACTCTGTAATGAAAATAATGGATATGAATATTGGACACTGCCACACAGGTATGTTGAGGCTGTCTTAGGCTCAGCAACGCTCTTGCCCAAAGGAATGAGAAAGCTCGAATACAGAACAGGATAAGACTTATTGAAGTTAATGAAGTCTATAAACACAACAATTCAAAAATATCATTATCTATTATATCAAGTCAAGCAGTCAYAAGAATTTTATAACCACCCGCAGAGCCCTGAAGCATAACGATTACTTGTCCTGTACTACTGGCTCACACTAACAAGGCCACACATTCCTAACTCATCAATCTCTTCGGTGCTCAGCCTGCTTCTGAATAATATACACCTTGGATATCCAACATCCTCATGACGTCTCCCAATGTATTCAAGACAGCAAAATACTTGTGCGCTGATCATACCAGAGTGCCACAAGTGTACCTCTTCCCCAATCATTTTATGCATTCTGTCCTTATATATATAATTCAGCATGTAATACCCAGTGGCTAATGCCAGCTACAAGTAGAAAACTCAAAGTTTGTCACACTGCTCAATACAATCTTCTGTGGTTTTTTCTCACTATACTACAAACTGTTAAAACAAACCACCCTGTGTTACTGGTACGAATGTAACCCCTCCATAATCCACCCTTTCCAGCATTTTATACAATTTCAATATTCTGTGCCCCAAAATAATGAATTTCATTTTTAACAGCTTTTTGGAATGGTTTCCTGAATTAAGTTTTTTCCTGATCTTTCTTGCCAGAACATTTTTTTTTTAATGCCTAATAGTCTTCCCACCAGACCACCAGCTTCATTGAACTGCATCTTAAACTATAGAAACTTTTTAGTAGAGACTCAAAATTTATAGCATATATTCCTTATAGCCAGAGACAGGTATTTCCATGGTTAGATCTGAGGAGACCTTCCAGTATCTACTTTTCCTGGCTACTTGAAGTATGGAAACTTGAAAGAAAATATATCACAGTTATGAAATAATTTGCCCACTGAAGATGCTTCTTTCTAACACCCAGTGAAGACTGACCTATACTCAGATCCTAAGAACTTCTCTCTCCCCTTTGGAAAACTTCTCATCCAATATATTGTGGCTGTTATAATTACTCTGGAGTATCTTATCCATTTAGTTATTGACTAATTATTGACACCTTGTTGTTAAATATGGGTTAAATTATTTTCTTCCATTCTTAAAAAAATCCATTGGAATTTATAAAAGAATAATTCTGAGTTTGTTGTATTTCAGTTAAGACCCCATTTTTGGCATTTGTATTAAAATAATTTAAAGAAGAAATATTAATTTAACTTGGTTAGTATTCAAAACAAGATGAGGTAACACTTCTCTAGGCCTAGACTCAAGTTCAAGATTGAGATGTTCCAACACTGCAAGAACTATTCATGTCCCACATATTTGGCTAAACTAATTAAAATGTCTGCTAGTGGTTTTGGTTGCACTAACCAACACTTACAACCCCCACTTCTGTAACTCCAGGTCAGGTCAAGAGCAAAACACTCTTAGTAAACTATGTGCAACTGTACATTTTAAATTCTAAGGAGCCCAAGAACCACCTAAATTCAAAGTGGAACTTTTGGCTGTCTGTCACTAACTTAATAGAAATAAAAAAACACTGAGTGTTGAAGCAAAACTTACTCAGATACTTGTTCAGCAGCTGGGAGCTCTACAGAAACTGAAAAATAAAAAGATTTAAAGATACTTTAAAAAATGGAAACACACAAGTACTTACTTTCAAGCACATAGGCACAAAGACAATGCAAACAACTGAAAAAGGACTGTAGTAAGACACCTAGCATGTATAAATATTTTCATCTATGTACACTACATGAAAAAGACATAATACGCACTCACCTTTTTCTATAACAACTTGGCAAGTATGAGTGTTGTTTTCACTCAGATGTGTGGCCATGTTATCTAAGCCAGAAACATCAGTCAGGAAATCACAATTAAGACATACTACAGTCAAACCTCTAGAGAAGAAAAAAAGTAAAAAGAAAGCATAAATACAACTTGCTAATGAAAGGATTTTGCTTAATTAATGAACTGACTATATAGTAAAAACACTCATGCAACTCTGGGTAAATTGTGTTACAAAAGTGTTACGCCTATATGCCTAGAAATCCTAAGACATTTCTGGGAAATGCCACACAAATTAAGAATGGCATTTCAGACTCACTTATCATAAAAGTGCAAAAACGTTTCTTCGTTTGGCACGTTATGAATATTTGGAGAATAAAAGGAACTCTTCTGAATGATTTGATAAAGCAGTTAAGAGTTGCGGATAAACAGTAAATATTTGGTCTCTGAAGAGCACATTGCCAGTGGAAGAGCTAATGCTTTTATTTTCCTGTTCCTTCTAAACTATGAGCGACTAAAAATTCAAGAGGTTCTTATCTCATTTAACTGATCAGCTTGCAGTAAAAACACCATTATTTGTAACGGATAAAGGAAATTACCTTAGCTCTTCTGAATGCTTCTTATAGATCCAAAATCTTTTACTTGGACGAGCACTATGAAAACTAAATAGAAGAAAACATTAACACTTAAAAAAATTGATTTTCAGTACATTTTTACATGTATCATCTACACTGTAAATGGTATAACAACTTATGATAAAGCATGAAAAAGAACCTGCATTACTCTAAAACATTAGATTTCCAAAGACCTACAGGCTTGTGATTCTCATCTAATTCAAAACACTAAAGTTAAATCCGGCAATGTGCCTCCCAGTTATTTCAGTTTTAAAAAGGAAAATTAACAAAGTCGGGGCAGCAGACAAAAAAATGAAAGAAACCCCAGAAAACCTGATACAGCTTCTGCTGCTGAATTAGCATCAAGGACACGTGAAAGAAAGGACTGACTGTTTTGCTGTATGGTTTAGCTTGAGATCATCCAGTGCAGAGGCAAGAAGGAACCTTAGGTTCACCTTTCACATTCTGGAGTAAGCTTTTTTTTTTGTACAAAGCTAAGCATACTTTTTTCCCCCTAAATATATATAACCCAGAGGTTTTATGTATAAAAGCATGGGAATCATTTCAACCAAGAACTTTTATGATATTATGAGTAAGACACAAATTGAAGAATTCTAAAATGTCAAGACTCTTTGTACTTGTATGTGTTTAAATACGCAACTGCATGCTGTTTTTTCTGCAAGACCTTTGATTGGCTCTGCACACAGGATCTGCATAATATATTCCCATTTGTTTGAAAACATAAGCATTTATTTTCTTGAGAGTTTTTCAATGGTTGTCATGAGTAGTACCCTGCACTGCTTAATAATCAGTAAGAAATTCCTTGTGAGGTGAGATATTTTACACATGATGACAAAGATTAAGAAAAAGTATCCATTAAGAAAAAGTATCCATTCCATGCTATTTCAAGCACAGATTTCACTAGCAATAGATGTAGCTTTACGTATTCAACACTTCAGATAAGGTTTTAAATCTGAAACCCAGAAAATAAGCAATAAACAATTACTTGCAAAGCCTGGTTGAAATGACTGGGACAAGTTCCATGGAGATTCTGGATCAAAGACAGTACACTACTGGAAGAGCAGGATTTTTAAGCAGAACGAGGACATGGCTTTTAGGTCCTCAATACAACATGAAAATTCCAGTTTACAAATTTCCACACAAGTCCAATGACCCAGATCAAAAATTCACTACAAACATTTAAAATAATTTATATGAGTTTAAATAATATTTTATATATATTTGATGTGATAAGTTTACAGAGGAGTTCTTACCTCATCATGTGATTCACATAGGCTTTGCTACAGCTAGTGTTATATCTGCATAAGCTACAATGGACATAAGCAGGGAAGTGGCTTGCAAAATCTTTTATTTCTGAGAAACACTCAATACATTTGTGAGATCCCAAACGATACCTAACAGCAACACAAAAATAGGTTAATAATTAACAGATGACAATGTAATAATTAACATTAAAGATGACATAACTACTTGAAATTTTTGCTTTAAATCAGTAACAAGTTTTGCTACTGATTGTAATAGAAAGAACTATTTTTTCTTTATATCACTATAATCTTCATCATAAAATGAATGATAATGTAACATCTGTTATTTGCCATTGCTTGATGCACTGCTTGGAAACAAGATACCACACTAGATGATAAACTCTGATTATAGTCACTGCTTCTGTCTTAACGTTCTTTAAAATGATTTCAAAAGAGCTGTTTCATATATTATGATGCAGAGAGAAGCTGTGGTTTTCTTCTCCCTGCCACCTCTGATATTCGCAAGTTTTGAAACAATTACAAATCAGAAATGCAAAGCTTATTTTGTAGACTGTTTTCAGATATCTGAAAGATGTGTGTTCACGTTGCGTGCAGATAAACACACATGTATACTTAAATATATGCATATAAACCCAAGTTCTAACACCTTATTGAAAGGCAGCATCTGTCATCTTTAAGACAACTACAAATTTACATTATCAATAGTGATTATATTCTAGTCCATAAAATACCTGCTAAATTATCAAAATAAGAATAACGTACACAGCTTCTTACATTCTTGATTTTTTTAGTAGCTCTCCAAAACAAAGTGCCTCCTAGAGGTAGACAAACTTTTAAATTAAGAATTCTAGTAAAACCCTTACTTTGAAGGAAGAAAACCTTGCCCTTCAAAAGGAAGCCTAAAAAGAACACGTAGGCAAATGTATTCTCCCCTATACAGGTCACCTTCAAACATAAATTTGCCTGACGAGTCAGTATTTTAATAGTGTGTGGTTTTTTTGTGTATAGGAAAATCTAAATTTAGAGAATTTTCCAGAGCATCTGCTCTTCCATCATGTTTATCTGCCACTAAAGTTAAAAGGAAAGCAGATTCAGAATTATAATCACAGTACCAGTAGGTGAGTTTCTTTATGAGTCTTCTTCCCACAGAACTCAAGTGTCAAATTTCCTGTATTGTGTTACTGAAAATAATTTTAAAATAATGACCCCAACTATTTATGAAGTATATTAAAAATATCTAGTATTTTACCTCAGATTATGTAATGCTGTATTTGCAACTTTATTTTTTTTTTTGCTGCTATTGTTGGTCCATGCATTTTGTCTCTTGGATACAGTTGATGGCTTTGATTTTCCTTTTGATTTATTTGCATTAGATCTTCTACTGCTTGTATTTTTAGCTTTAGGTGATAACTGAAATGTTGATGTGCTCGTACTAACAGAAGATGTAGCAGATGATCCTGATTGAAGAGTTCCAATAGACGCACGAATGGTAACCTAGAAGCACGAAAGTAAAAATTGTTCTCTTTAGATTTACTTTTTTTTCAGTTTTCTTTTCCATTTGCACTGAAGTTTGGGCCGTCTTAGGATAAAAATAAGTGTATTTTATATAGCGTAAAAAACCCTCCAGGTGATAAAGGAGGTTTTGAAAAACACGAAATAATGTTTATGAGCACAAACATGAGCTAAGCAGATTATTTCCAGCAAAGTGAGCTTTAAGCATCCCAAAGATGGGATGCTTGGCAAAACACACTGCTCCTAACTACAAACTATTTCCTTGAAAGAAAAGCAAAAAAACCGCCTCCCAACCCCCTCCACCACACTGAGGAAAGGAAATAGAGGGTCAGGAGAATTAGCTACACGTGGAAAATCCGTAAGTTTTTGGATTAAATAAAACCACTCTTGTCTTATTGCCTCCTGACCAGTAAAACTACCTACAACACATATTGTTGGCCTTCATTCCATCCCCTGCCCCATGCTGTGAAGGGCAAATTCTAATTCTAACCTCCTGTCTCACCTAATCACACTCCCTTGCCTTGCCCTTTAGTTACCCAGTTTTCATTAACTAAACTTAAACTCTACTTCTCACCCAAGCTCAGTTTTTAAGGTCCCAAACTTTTCTTCACAATATGCACAGTGAAATGTTTGCTCAACTACTTCACAGCATAGAAGCTAGAAAGTCCCGGGGCACTCAGTTCTTAGTAGGATCACCTATATGGAATAGCCTACCCTACATGATTTCTGGCACTAAATGCCACAGCTTGACAGTGTTTCATGAGAAGTGACACACATCCCTCAAATCACCAGCTAGACTACCTGATTTTTTCCTGGCACAGGATAAAAAGAGAACAGATTAATCTCTAACTAGATTAATCTATATAACAGATTAATCTATATAAACAGCAGTGATGGTTAGACTACTTTCAGTTAATATAAAGTGACAATTATATATATATTTATATGGATGTGGATGTGTATATACACATAAATTCAATACACAGGAAAAGATAACAACAGAGATGACCAGCAGAAAACCACAACCAGCATGTCTAAGAATTTCTGCAATGGGGAAGAAATGAAGCTGTTTTGGAGGTAGCAAAAATTTAACTACTTGGAAAATGGAGGGGGAAAAGCACTTTCTTCTCTAGCAAAGTATGTCCTTCTTCCCCCAAGTCCCTTATAGTTTTCCTGTGTGTGTGTGACTTACCTTTGTTCCAGGAGGCAAACCTTCTAACTGCTTAGGTTTTCTAAACGTTCGATGATGCTGAGTCTTGTGATCCATTTTTTCCTTGCATGTCAAAAACTGCAGCCTACATTTAGTGCAACGGTATATTCCTTTTTTCTTTTAAAGGAGAAAGAAAATTTGTAGCAAACAAACTTAATTCTCGAATAAAGTCCAACCCTACTCTGTCTCAAGAAGTAACCACGCATTTTTTTTTTAAATCAACCTAACAAACTCCTATTATTGTAAAAGCAAAAAGGGTATGGTAATTAAAAAAGAATATTTAAACATTTTAAAAAGGCAAGGCATACTATTATGAAGAAGAATAATCATCAGGGTAACACTTTCAAGGAACACACTACTTGACAAACCCAAGGATTATTACTATTAAGAAAAGCAGAACACTATAGTGTAATGCAGAAGAGCAAAGACATTCTCTCAAGTGTAGACAGAGTTTAAGCAGACATCTGCTGTCATACAACATACTGAGGACTTTTCTGAAGAAACAGTCAGGTTTTCCTTACTATATCTTACTAACAATTCTTATTAACAATCATAAAAGTTAATTCATATTTTAAGCTATGTGAAAACTACATATAATTTTCTAATATTAAGAAATGAAAACGGCTGCTCACCTGATGCCTCATGTAATGATGCATATATGGTGCTCCAATTTTTATTACTTTGAGGCAAAATGGGCATAGCAAATGTTTTGTATTTTCATGAACTGTTCGGAAATGTGTTTCTACGTCGGAAAAAGCTGAGGATCGGTAGTTGCATACCTAAAAACAGAAGTTTTACTTTCTTGTTAAAAGTGCATCGATGGGGACAAAAAAGACCAGGATGCAGGGAACGTAATTTAAATACAAAACCAATCACACAGGTACCTGGCAAACATATGGCATTTCACCTGGCTTGTGATTGTCCTTCATATGTTGCAAAAGAACTTGCTCTGTTTCAAAGGATAGTTCACAGATTTTACAAATAGCTAGAAAAGTTAAAATAAATAGTTAGTGTCAGGGCAGAAGTGGAAAATTTTTAATATTTACATATGCATAAATTGTATCAATTATAAATGTAACATAATTCAAGGATTATTCTGTTCTTGAAATTCCCTGAATAACTTCAGGAAGCCCCAGATGCAAGCCTCAAACAACAGGARTTACTGCAATCAAGCTTTATTTAGAAAAAGGGAAGAGGCAAAAAAATTCTGCAAGTTTTTTTCCCCCCGCCCCAGGAACATTATTCCGGAGTTGAATAACTGCACATCTCCTATACTAAATCTCAAAACAATTTCTTTTGAAGTATATCTTTTCACTACCGCTTCATTCTTAAATTACGATTTGTCAAGAAAGTGTCAGAAAATATCTAAAATGGTTTTAGGATCACAAGAAGATTGAATGTGCTACAGTCCAACTTACTAGATGACTCGTAAGGCGTGTGTGTGCTTTCAATGTGGCACTGCAGCTGGAAGGGAGTGGGAAACTGGCGGTAACAGTGCTGGCAGGTGGTGTGGCTTTCCCAACTTTCACTGCTCTGCTTCTCAAGCTCTAAGTGATGTTTCATGTGGTTCATAAACCTTTAAAAGACAGTGAACAGGTGCAAAAAACTACATTTGAACAAATGTCATACACAGAATTGTCACATGTGGGATGTGGATGAAACTTTAATTTCTGAGTATTATTAGAGTAGGCATTCATTAATAAAGTTAAGCAAGCTGACTAGGCCAGAGTTAATCTTTTGAAATTCTAAGAGAAATATGGACTACTAAGTCCATAAATATGGAAATTCTAAGAGAAATATGGACTACTAAGTTCCCAACAGCTTTCTTTGCATAAAACACTTAGATAGGAGAATTATGAAGCACAGTTACAGAACAATGCCAGTGTGCAGCTGGCAATCCAAACAGTACCACAAACCTGGCAGCAGTGTCAGCTACATCAGAAAAATCAAATACCCACAGACAATGACTACACAAGCAAGATAAGAACATCTCAGTTCTACAAGTTACTGCCTTTCCTTCACTAACATACACCACTTCTCTGTGAAAGGAAAATCTAGTTTAGCTGAGATGTCTTGCTCATGACTAGAAGGTGACAGGTGACGGCTACTTGTGGAGTAGTAAGTTGTGACAAGGAGAGATTAGTTGCACAGACTACTACAGTTCACTTAACCATCCTATTTTGAATAGGCTTCATTTCAGTACTGCCAGAGGAGCAGTTAAATCCATATCATGCTCCCCGAAGAGATGTATTTCTCAACGTGGTGACCTTGTAATTTAAAATGAAAAAAGTACGGCCTCTTACTCTGATAAGGAGAATACTCTTTACATCAAGCTTTTAGTATCAGAAAATAAAACTAAAGATGTAAGTCAACACACTTCAGTAGAAGAAACTGATGCTACTACTGCATACTGCTGTAATAAACCACTACTTCAGTGTTGTGTTCAATACTGACTCTTAAAGAGGATGGGAAATGAATATGTAACAATATTCTGTGAATTAAGGTCTAGAAAACTCCTATTAGGTGTAAAGACACATAATTATTTTTTGATACAAAAATTGTTTAAGTAATAAATCTTTGAAGAAAAAAGTCTAAATTTAGGTACAGATTTATTGCACGAGTAATATATCTGAAAGTAGATTCTATAGAAAACCAAACAAAATTGTCATAGTCATCATAACAGCTTGCTCTGGAACGTACTGGGACGGTAAAACCAAAAGCTCCTATACATAATGCCGAGCAGAAAATATTGCAAGAAAAATTCTCAGAAGCAAACTCAAATATTCTAAAAAACAAAACACCCAACCCACAACCTTATGCAGCAGCAGCTAATTTCATGGAGCTGGCAACTCTATTTTCATGCATTTTATGCATTTACTAATAGAATCAAGATTTAAGATAAGTCTGGTTACCCAAATAATTCCAACAAAGTTGTTGCCCTTTCCAACCTCAAAGGCCATCAGCTAGTCTTATTAAAGCTATACTATTTCTATTAGAAACTATTAAAACAAGTACTTTAATCTGTAAAAAGTTTAAGCTACAGACATTAGTTTACAGCCCTCAGCAATCAAAAGAGAGTTCAAATACCTTATGTTATTTTTAAGAACTTTCAGGCAACTGAAGCACTTGAATGTTGTATGAGTCTTCTGCTCCTGTTGTACCTGCTGGATATCACCTTCATGTTTCCCGTAATAGAAGTCGTTAACTAGCATAATCAGTTTTCCTTTCTCAGATTCAGCAATCTTGCTTGTTGTGCTTGAGCATTCAGTTTTGTCCACGCTCGGGAAAAAGCTATTTATCATATCTGGACAACAATACTGGGTGGAAGGGGGAGGAGGAGAGACAGGGAGAGAAAGACATGAGTCTCATCAAAATGCACCAATAATGACAATATTCTGAAAACTAAAGTCACTGGCTAAGCAGAGGTACATGTAAAGCTCTGTTCCAATTACTCGGACACAATCTGACTTCATTCCTGTTCTCATGCATCTTTTGAACAATAATTGATCTTTAGTGCTGTTTAGGTAATAAATGCTACCTAGTTTTTAACCACTGAAGAGGCTTTATCCTCATAATCCAAGTTTAAGTTACAAATCAGAACACCATTGTTACCAAGTGATGCCTTATTGATTACGAAAGTATATACTTGGTTTAAATTCAATAATGAGAAATATATAGAAATGCTCTGTTTCTATATTGCTCACAAGTTATATTTACTGAGAACTTCACAGGAAGTTTTTTCTTTTATTTCTTTGATAAGGATATTCATAGCAGATTGCAGAAGTTTTTCAGCATTACAAAAGAATTCAACAATTTAAGGTCACACAACACACATTGTTCAACTCTTCTACCTGAAAGTTTACATAATGCTTATAAATCTGACAGCCATAATATGAAATTTAATGCTTAAAAAGCCTCAAGAAATTCATGTAGAAGATGAAATCCCTTGAAATGGAACGTACATACCTGAACTGCATGGATCTCTGCCAAGCAGTTAAAATATTTTTTGAGACTAGAAAGATCAAGTAATTTCACAGCAGAACAAGCAATACTTAGCTTCTGAAAGCTTTGCTTCTCCCAATGCTTGAAGAATGAACTACATTCTTTTTCTGCTGAACAAGCTTCTCTAGCTACCAAATGGCCTACCAAAGAACAGAAATAAGTTTACAGTGAAGTCTTTGTCTCAATAGCAAACAAAAATGTGGATCACCAGTCTATTCCACTTTAACCTGTAGGCATTTTATCTTCACCAAATTCACCTGAGACTGGCCAGAGGTTCTGGAAGTAAATGCTGTGCTGGAGATAGAATCTTATATATTCAGCAAGTATGTCCAAATTCATTTGAAAAATAATGCAAAAGGTACATAAAAAATATACTTGCTTTCTATGACTGTACAGACATTTAGCATTTGGATCCTGATTGATTATAGCCAAAAAACAAGCCCTTTGAGAGATATAAAGAGCTTCACAAAGAGAAGGTTGTAGAACTCATCATTATGTTTATGAGCACCCAAACATTTTACCTTCATATGATTTTTTAAAGGATCCATAAGATTAAAGTGAATATTGCACTGTGGACAAGCTCGTGGAAAAGGTCCTCCATTTTTAATGTTGCTTGTTGCACTATTTGTATCTGTAAAAGATAAAATAAATTAAGCTTCAGAAGTCATAAGCAGAATAATAACTAATTTATTTTTAATGTTCTAATAAAGCATATTATTTAAAATGAAAACTACGATGACTCATGTAGAAGTAGGTATAAACAAAATTTTACAACTATTTTCTAGCTCTTTTTTTTAACCTATAAAAAGACACATGCCTATAAACAAAGCTTTCACAAAGTTTTAGAATCAAAAGAGAAAAATATGTGAGAGGATAAGAGAAACATGTCAGACATCTAAAGCATTAGTTCTGCCCTCTCCTTGTTCCCCCAGCATAGGCCACATCTGGTGATTTTCAAGAGCTTCAGTTCTCACAGGGACATGCAAAAGTTACTTTATGACATGAGCTGATGAACATGACAATAGGGTTTACAATAACTGGTTTTGGAAAGGAAGGTCGCTGTATGTTTCTCAATGATGAGAATATCTCCGGGCAGGAGCTGAAACTTAGGCCCATCCACTTAATCGTTCCTGCTGAGCAAAGGTATCTTTGGAAAACCTAGAGAATAAATTCTCTAAATAATTATTCTAACTAATGAAAGGAAGTAATATTTTTCTTAGCAACATGAGATGATTAATATCTATGAAAAAGTGAGAAAAAAGAGAGAAAGATATTTTTGCTTATGAAGTTCTCTTGCATTTAAGTCATCCACAAATCCGGAGGACTTCAGGCTAGGTAGGATAAAACACAGGAACAGCAAAATAACATCTCGACCAAATACAGGGTCAACTGTACACTGGTATGTTATGAACAAATGCAATACAGAAATATATAAAACTGCTTTGTAATAAGTGAATAAATAACCATATGAGTGAAAAGATGACCATGTTACAATCTCAAATTTTGTCATAAAAAAATTCTGTAGTCCATGAGGTAGACACAGATCAAATGGCATTTTTCCTTAAGGAAAACATTATTGCCAAGAAGGGCAATCAAAGCAAAAAGCCTCTCACATGAGTGGATGACCATGCAAAAAGACATATCTCACAACAGTACTCAAGTCTTTACTAACACAGTTTGTAAAACATTTTAACAAGTTAAGGGAAAGCTAAGTTTGAAGAAAACAGGTTCTGCAGCAAAATCTAATGTTCTGTGATGTTTCGGTGATGGATTCTATGACAGATTTAAATGTTAACATTGGGACAACTTAGAAAAAGTAAAAAAAAATTATCAAGTTCTCAGTGAATATCATCGATTCCTTTGTTACTGAATTTAACATTCTGGCTATCTTGTGTACATGCTTTCTGCTTGCTAAGACAGAGCCTAGTGGGAGAAGAGCTGCAGACAAGAAACGTAGGAAAAAAAAGGTAAAACAAAAAATCCCCACCAAACCTATATGATTCTAAAAAGGGAAGTCAACAGTGTACATTTAGCTTATTTCAATACTATGCCTGGCAGTGTGGTTGGAAATGTCCAGGAGACTCTCTCTCCTGTAAAGGAAGAAATACGTTCAGAGCCTCCTGAACCTCAAAAAGTACAACAAAACATACTAAAATATACTTTGCAGTATTTATTGCAGGAGCAGAATCGCAGAATAAGGGGCTTGTGGGTATGTTCCTAACTTCCCACTCAAAGCAGGTCCAAGTTCATCAGGATACTCAAGACCTTGTCCAGTTAACTTCTGCGTATCACCAAGGAGCCCACTCCGGGCTCCTGCTCCTGTGTCACCATTCCTAATTTTTTTCCCTGTTATCTCAGAGCAGTTGATAAATTCTGCAGTCTCGGAATTCTTACAACTTTTTTTTTAGTTGTTTTTTAAAGCATCAACTATCTAGTCAATTCCTTGATACATAGTCTGAACTCTAAGTGACGGGGTGTTTTTTGCATGTCTGTATATTCACAGCTTCTAAACAAGGTAACTGCTGTTTTATAGGATCACATACAGCTAAAAAATCGGGGTCTTAAGTCTAAATAAACAAAACTATTGGCCATTTTAATTTGTAAAGTTATACAGATTCCTGCATATAACTTTTTATTCTAATGCATAATAAAAAGCAGAATTATTAACTCCCAATCTTCAAGTAAACCTTAGAGAGTAGAGCTGCATGTCAGTAAGTCTTAAATGCCAACACAAGCCTTGTGAACTTCTAATAATCACAGATAAAAACAACAAGGCCAGGATAAACTATATAAGGAGTCTTGGGAAATTATTTCCAGACAGAAAGATCTGAACTAAGGACATCCTTCTAAACTCTCCCCCAACCACCTACCTGGTCAACAGCTTTCTTGAGAGTAAAGAACTTAATTGCATTAGTCTCAGCTGCAAAAGTCTCACCAACAATGAGAGGTGACTTGTGCCACACAAGTACTCGTAGTTCTCTTAGAATGGACACACCAAAATCAAAGGCAAAGGCCACATGCCCCATGGTTGTGTTCATCCAGGGACCCCTCTAGCCTATCAAAGAGGCTGGATATGGGGTCTCCCACCTTTCAGTCCACAGAGGTAAAGAAACACAGTACGGCTTATATATACACATATGTATACAATTATATACATATACATATGTATATATACAATTAACTCTCACTCATTAAATATAGCAAGCCCAAAGCTCTCCTTTGTAGCATACTTTTCAGTAAAACCCACAGCTTTTTTGACAAAACTGAACATATTAAGCTGACATTTCTCATTCAGTCTGCACATAGTTGTGAATGTGTTAATTGTCGAGGTAAAAAGTTTAAATAGATAAGTTTATTCATAGGTAATATTGCTGCCTAGTGTTTTTAGTTAGTTACTAGTAAATAAAGTTAGGTGACAGGCTAAAACACTGTTAGATATATGAGTTAGTTATATTTATACTTGCTTTTCATTAGCAAATACTTCATACAGTTGATATGACTAACAATCTGGGTCGCTAAGGCTATTTGGTCTTTAGGCCACCAACTCATAGTATATATTGTTTTTTTCTAACAAGTTTGCTCTTTCAGAAGAGTTATCCTGATAGTAGGACAGCATAAACACATTTGCATTTAAATTCTGTTGCTTCCTCATAAAAACAGCATTTGAATGCATGTTCTGAAGAAAAATGAAAGTAATTTCAGGTATCACTTAATATCTAGTTGGTGTACAACATTTCTACATCGCAGGTAAGGACAAAAGTTATCATACATATGTCTGCATTTTTCAGGGGGGAATTATGTATTATTAATGAAAAAGCTTAACAGGGTCAAATCAGTCCATTGTAAATGCAAGAATTTTTCATTTGATTTCCTTTTAAATAACAAATACCTCAACACAGAAACTATTTCCATTTACAACACATGGTTCAATTATACAAATTCTTGTTCTTACATTTTCAAATATTGAGTTGAGTTGAACACTTTCTGCTAAAAAATAATTTTTCAATTGGTAAGCAGAAAGATCTGTTAAAAGACCTGGAAAAATGTGCCTTGGGATGAAAGACATTTTAGTCTTATAGGTTAAACCTTTGCGAGCAACTTTAACATCACTTGAAGTCAAAGTACACTGGATACATCATCACCTTGCCTGAAACGTCACATATTACAACACTACTGTAAAGCCCTTCATTGCATTATGTGCATCCGTGGCTATTAGGGGTAATTTTGAAATGATGGCAAAAAACATTAGAAAGTAACTGAGAAAGGACGTAGTAAATGTACTCTGTTAACAGTCACATAAAATCAGGAAGATAGCAATCTGAACATCAAAACTTCTCAGGCCTCTTGTGCTATATATATCCCAGTGATATGAATGCATATATACATTATGTTAACTTCTGAACAGCACAGAGTTCTTCTGATAGTTATAGTACTACCTGCTTCTTCCAACTTGCTGAAGTTTGTGGGAGAACAACCCTAAAATATTCTCAGAAAGCACACAGGAATTTCACATACATCCTCCAGTAACCATAAAACCTGAGCACCCACAAAATTGGAGTTACTGACGTTTAACTTCTTACTGACATTTAAGAATCTAACAAAATGGTTGGCTAATGCCCATCATTTCCCTAGTTCTTAGATCTAAGGAAATGTCCAGACATGAAGACTCATGCGGTGAGGCATTAATATTTTTTTAAGTGACTTCAAACGCAGAAGCTAATTTGTCCTACAGAGTATTGTAATCCAGTTCCCCAAATGATTCGGCTTTAAGGAGCATATTCCACTGCACCTTGTGCTCAGGTGCTGCATGGGAGTTCTAAGTGTAACGCTACCATCAGCAAGTAGCTATTGGAACATACAAACCACCTGAGCATAAATGACTCACACAACATAACCATGCAAGTCAAGTCATGCAGATACTTACTGCTCTGAAATGAAACAGCATCTGACTTCTGCTTCAGGAGACTATAAGACACTTCTGTTTCAACCTTTAATTTTAAATTTTTTTTTTCCCAATTCCCAAATCCAATAGCTACCTTACTGACATGAGAGAGGCCAAGTAGAGCATACTTAAGACACCTGCAATTACAAACCTTGATTCTTTCAAATTTTGGGGAAGTGTGTTTATGTGGAGAAGGACAGGAGTCTAATATAAGTTCACTTTTAGAATAAGAGTTCTAATATTAGCTCCTCTAACTTAAAATAACTAAATACCTGTGCTTTGAAGAACTAGGTCTGGCCATCTGCAATAAATCAAACCCTTATTTACTTCTCAAAAAGCTATTTAGTCAAATAAGATAGTATTTAGATCACAAAATAGTTGGACATATATGACCAACCCTTCATGAACTTGACTGCCTGAACTTTAGACTTGAAATAATCACATCAAGAAGAGAAGAGATTAGTGATTATTTTATTTACATAACGTGTTAGTAGGGCCTGCTACCTCACAGAAGAGTAAGAATAATGACATGATTCTAGTCACTTTTCTGTGAAGGATTACACTCTACTAAAGACACAGGAAGTTTCAAGTTATAACCTGTTTAAGATTCAAAGCATGCAGTATATTCAATCTTCTTCATCCACTATGACTAGGATTTTTTTTTTCCATTTTTGCATTTTTAAGCAGGCTAAATACTATCTGCTGAAGTCCAATCTACCTAATCAGAAAACAAACAAAAGAACAACAAAAAATATTTCAACGGCCATTAAATAACAGTAATATTTCCCTCTTTCTCAGACAGGATCCTTTCAATCCCATCTACTCTAACTGCTATCTACACAGCAGTCAGGAAACCATGATGATCACCACAGGGAACCCAATGTGYAGACTCAGGAAGCTCTTCTGGTRCCATTCCCTTACCAACAGGCATTCCCATTCATTGGGGATGTACCAGAGTACTGATTATACTGAAAACAAGCCTTTGTTTCTCAAAAGAGTCACAGAGGATTTGACAACATTTCTTCCAAAGTAAACATTAYGGTAAGATATCTGCTGATATTAGTCAATCTAACATGCTGAAGAGCCAAGTCTGACAAAGTTTAAGCTCTAAAGTTTATTTTCTTAAATATTAAGCAGTTAGGTACAGTAYGTGTGGGGAAGTAGTTATACTATGTTCTAGAGATCCTATTTAAAATTATAACCCAAAGATCTGCACTACAGTTAAATGGCATTACACTGATTCTTTCTCTTATCAAATTCAACTACTATAGTTATACCCACCTGTTACATTCACTGCTGGCCCAGTCTCGTACTGTGGAACTCCCGAGTTCTGTCTCACACCAAACAGTATACCAGATGTATTATCTGGTGCAGCTGGTGGAGAATCCATAATATAATCCTAATAAAATATTTTCAAGAGGGAAAAGAGATTTGAGGTTTAACATTTCTTATTTGTAGGCTTCAAAGGGTTTATTTTTAAAACATTATACGCTTGCTTAAAAGTACTCACAAGTACTTCTCTATAGATCAAGAGATAGTCTCCCCCAAATATATAGTTTCTTTCAACAATTTAAGTTTGTAATTCTTATCAATGGTTGTTAATTTAGTCACAGCTGTACGTCAGAAGAGTAAGAACAGGCACAAGACTTGAGAAAGTTCATTTATGAAATATTAAACTCGCTTGAACCACTGATTTTGTTTCTGTTCAAAACAATGATGCTTCTTCAAACTACACGCGGCTTGTTTTTCAAAAACTACTAATACTTTCTTCCCTCAACCTATTCTCAGGCACTCACTCACCCATTGTGCAACAGTTAACTATTTTCAAGAACGAGAAGGCAAAACTCTAAACAAAAATAGCATAAACTTGCAGCAAACASAAGCTTCTCAAAGGAACTATGGAACTAGACCAATCAAATTCTTTAAAGTGGTCAAACATTTAATAGTACATTGACTGGGAATGTCACTCACATTTATGATGTCATAATTTTTTGCCCTTTAGCTTAGAATCCTAGAATAATTTAGAAAGGACCTCTGGAAATTATATGGTCCAATTCCCTTTTTAAGGTACAGCTAACTTCAGTCAGCTCAAGATACTCCAAGTCTGTTAGGTTATGCTTCAAGCATCTTCAAGGACAGCTAACTTGTTTATTTTCAATTTGCCCTTCTAGTACTGCTTGTAAACGAAAGACAAAAGTGAAAGAGTCTGTGTTTCTTGGCTACAATACTCATTTCTTAGAACCACACCCTTTCATTGATCATTCAGTAGGTCATACTTGGAGAAAGAAAGAAGAAAAAGTTGAAATTGATTCTCTTTACAGATATCTGAAGAAGGGGCATGAAGTAAGAGAAATGCTTTCCAAGATTCTGCTCACATTTTAAGAGGCCATCCCTTCTAACAAAAACAATCTGGAACATGAAATATCATCACCAGCAGCAATAGTGAGCTGAGAAAAACATTATGAGAGCTRTGTGCTATTTTTAAAATTAAGGTATGATATACAAAGTGTTGGCACATGATTTTTATACTGCAAAATAGCTTAATTATTTTTCCTCCTCAAGCTATATTGTGAAATAAAAAGCTAGATAAAAGTAACTCAACTTTCTTAGAAAAGTGTCACTCAAAAACATGTACTTTGTCATTCATATGTCACTGAGACAAAATGATCTTTACAGCAAAAGGTTCTTGCAATTTCTTTCCCATTAATAATTTCACCAACTTATTTGAAAATATTGCCAAGAAAATCACTATTTTTTAACCACTATGTTGATTGACCTTGCTGGAAAAAAAGTCTAAAATGTACACAAAACAAATACAGTTGTAATAATCTATGACTCAGTGTTAGAAAAAAAATGAGCAAGTTAAGATGCCTCTTCCCATTTCCCTTTTGTCATGAATCTCTTCAATGGACACCCTGTAGGGCCTTACAATGTTGAAGGACCTTAACCACTCTTTCCTCTGGTGACTGACCTAATCCAGACTCACCAAATTAAACAGAAAYGTTCAAGTGCAGGTGAGGAAATAAAGATAATATGAAAAACATTACTAATAGTCAACTATTTCTTTGTTCCTACTAGRCTAATGCTGAGCACCTTAGGTTTTCCAATTGTGGAAACTAAAGTGGTCATCAGTGGTTTACACCCACTTACACCCACCCACAGTGGAACTAGGACAATGCACAGCACGGGATGTAGGCCCTCCTTAAACAGGTATATAGAACTGGCTGCTGAAGCATGCCCACTTTCAGCAAGTAAGGTTAAGATTTGGACAGACAGGGAAGACAACTACTGGGGAGTGTTCTGAGTAACGAGGTACAGAAAATATTTTCTCTGAGACTGAATGCGTAAATAAAAGGATAGTCCTATGCTACTGCATACAACAGCAGTTGCTCTGAGTAAATAAGGACTCATATACAGAACCACTGAAGCCAAATTCAGCTCAGGTTTTGGAACTGAGCTAATCAGAACCTGTAATAAGCACACAAAAACTAGACTTTTATAGCAGGTCAGTCAATCCAGGCTATGATAGACAAGGTGTATTTCACAGGTAAAACTGGAATTCAAAACATCAACAAGAGAAACTACAGACATACACATTATGAAACAGAGAAAACATCCTTTTCAACCAGGCTGGTGATCCAAAGAAATCAGTTCCCAGAAAACTTTGGCATAGTAGGATTAAAAAATATTCCTAAACCGCAACCCACTGTAACAAGAATACAAGGAGTGTTCACTCACAGAACATTAGAGTAACAAAGGACCCTTGCATAGTATTTAGCCAATGTTTCACAGGCAGCTGCTCTAGGCAACCTGGTTTGAATAGGATGGACTAGATGATCCTCAAAAATCCCTTCCAACCTCAGCAACTCTGTGATTCTGTGATSATTACATCACAAAAAATTAATTTTAAAATCAAGTTTCAACCCGGGCAAGTTTGAAGGGATATCAAACATCTCTAGATTTCTCTGAAAACCTGATTTTAAGCCTTTGCCATTGAGAACAATTAGGTTGGGAAGAAACAAAAGCATACAAAATAAAACATGTGACAAAGGTTATAGCAAAAAAATACTGATACAAAACAGCAGTGTAAGGGGGAAAAACAAACAAAAGTTTAAGGAGTTCTAAAGCCAGAAAGTGAACCAACAAASAGCTAGTACACAACACTGAAAGAGTAAATGAGGTAACATCAAAAATGATTTTAAAAATCCCATATGCACAGAACTCAGTCCAAGAAGCTGAACTATCCTTTTCCTGGTTTGGAGAAAAAACACCACACACATACACACACACACACCCCAGGGATGGAGCAAACATCCTATAGACGCAATCCAGAAGCAAGTGGTAGAAACAATACAACACCACCACAATAAGAACAAAATCAGAAACATGATTCTGAATCACAAAAGGCTCAGATGAAGGAATGAAAGATTTAAGTCTATTTTAACAAAGAAACACCAAAAATTCTCCTAAATGAAATCAAGTCTTCTTGATTCTGTCAAGAATGAAATCTAAAGCCCATATTCAAGAGAATTCAAAAAATGAAAAGCTCATGAAAGCCACATCAATATGTTAACACTGTAAAGAAAATGTGTAGTATGAGATAATTCCAATTGTGAAAGTTTTAGAGAGGCCACAGAACATGGCTGCAGTAGAACTCCCAGAAAAGGACGCTAGTTGGTGTAACCTGGAATAAAGCTAAAGCGACACAGAACTGTAAAGTGATTAAAAGATTTATTTTTTTCAAAAAAAGAAAGGCTATGCATCTTGATAGTCATATATATTTCAGCATGCAACTTCAAACAGCCCCACTCAGCCAAACAGGAAAAAGAACAGCCCACAAGCTCAAAGAGAAAAAAAAACACCAAAACAAAACACCTGTAAAACTTAAGTCTCATCTGTGACTTTCTTGATGCAGGTAAACTTAATGAATTAGAAAGTCTCAAAAATCAGCAGTAGTTCTTACTGTCCTTAACCTTTCAAGAAAAATTACTGTCTTGATGAGTTCCATGCAGCACACAGACTTAAGGCAGCTGAGCTTTCCCAGAAAGTTTAATTATTCTAATTTTTCCCTAAGTGATCACTGAAAATGCCACTAACAGCTTGATCTATCCCAACAAAAACAGGATGTACACACAACAGAAGCAAAGCAGGAATAAGGAGGGGTATCTCTGCAGCAAAGACTCTGCAAGACATYCTAACATTCATTTGGAGGATCTCCCTTTAACATCAAGGATTTAATAAAACATACTAAAAAGTAAAAACTTAGAGATAAAAATTCAGACTTGAAACACTCATACACACTGTGTAGTGTAGCAGGCCTTTACCTATTATTTGGCCTATTTTATAACAACAGATTACAAGAGGACTCACCAGACAGTCTGAATATCCTAGTGATGTCTAGCATTGTGACTACAGCATTATTCTAGGCCTTTTAAATACAATAGATTGATGTAGCCAACCCACTTTACCAGATATATCCCAAATTTCTCTAAGTCACTTAACTGTTAAAGATCCAAAACTGAAAAGTATGATGGCTTCCTGATGAATCTGCCAGTGATTCAACTTTGCAGTCCATAGACACTTCTAATTCATACAAGTGAAATTTTTATCTTCACATTCTTTCTTTCTCTAAAATAACCACAGCAAAGGCAAGAAATGCTGTATTTTAGCTGAAAGTTACAATTCTGATTTGCTGGATCTCCAGGAACATATACGGATACATGATTTACATGCATATTTCTTTTGGACCTTCCAAGGAAGGTAAATATGCTATAGAGGTGTTAAATCTACTGACCCTGCAAGTTTTAATCTCTCCTTACCTGTTTCATTGCAACTGCCAAGCAAATAAAAAAAACCAAAAATACCTAGGTAGCTACCATYATAACATTCCCTAAGGCAAAAACAAAACAAAACCCACACACACACGAAAGTCACTGTAAAAGTCAGATGGAAAAAATGAAAAGTTACTTATAAGGCAAAATGCAAATCATATTAAAATCAAATAATTCAATACAGAGCATCTGTTTTTGAGCAGAAAAATCTGTAAAACTTTATCTGCTCCTAAGCAAAACAAAGACTTCAATGCTTCTGGAGAATTTTATTAGAATTTCTCTTATGTCTACAATTTGCAATTAATATATAATTCCTGATGCTAAACAAAGTCATCTTCTTCGAATCTGTGACATATTTTAGAACTAGTATAAATATATAAGTATTTTCAAATATATTTTTAATTCAGTGCAAGTTTATGGTCCTAGAACTCCCACAGTTTCTGTAAAACTAATTTATACTCTAGACTAGAGTCTAAACTAAGTCAGTCAGTATGTTCTTCATTAATTTATTCAAAAGTAATAGCTACTAAGTATTGTAACCGATGAAGGGAATAAGAGTTTACCTGATCTAATATTCCAGGCTGTGCTGCTACAGTAGTCACTGGCCTTGGTATGGGCTGAGCCACTACAGGAATGGCAATATTTCTTGATACTGGCTGGGTTGTCACTGGAATGGTTACAGGTCTGCTGACAGATTGCGATATTCCAGAATTTGACCGGGACATCTGCTGCGCTGATAAACATCCAGCAATTGGCCTCTGCAATGTCTGTGAAGTTCCTGAGACGTTCACTGCTCTAGACAAGGGTTGAACTGCTGCAGAGCTAGTTGTAGGTCTAGATACAGCCTGAAAAACTGATGAAACAGGCATGGCACTGGGGCTGGATGCAGGTGTTGCATAATGGTGACTGTCAGGCTTGAAYGTAGTAACAGTACCTGTTACAAAGGATTCCAAAATTATTTTTATATAGTATTGCAATCAGATGTTTTCATAAGTTTTTTTTAATTACCATATTAGAACAACATAGTACCTCTACTGGTTGCACCATTCTGTATCCCCCTTCGTGATGAGCCGAGGTTGACTCTGTTCAATATATCTGTCAAAAGTTATATTTGTCTTAATTGCAGATAATTGCTTTATTGYTTTGCAAATTAAAAGCACCATTTATATCCACAAATTAATCCAATTAGGACTTGACATATACTAAAAAATTATTTCTAAAATAAATACCTGGCAAAACATCAGTTGCACAAATTAAGATATATTGTTTCCCTCTCCTCCCCGCTAAGTAAATGAATTCACCAAAGAGCCTTAGTTTCTACAGACTTCATTACAGATTCATTACAGAAATCATATGGTCTTTTCTAGTTCCTCAAAGTGTTTGTTGTGTCCTAGGTAAAACTGCACCGAACTGTAAGAAAGTTGACATGTTGTTTTTAAACAGAGACAGCTTACAGCTACATATGGTTGTGAAGAAGGTAAATGACTGGTAAATGGATGAAACTACATAAAGTGAACAAAGCATTATTTACGTCTTATCCCAGTCAAACTAATCCTCCAGTATGGAAAGAARAGACGCTTAAGTGAACATGACACTGTCAGTCCGCACAATTTGGGGATTCTTTATTTTTCCTTCAATTTTCCACACCAGGCTGCACAGAAATGGTAATTGCATTGTCAAAAGACAGTTAAAGATTGCTCAATGTTAAAAAAACCTATTTCACAGAAAACCTAGAAATTTTCTCAAGAAAGTTACAAGAGGCTACATGAAAGCCTCCCTTTGTCATCTGATCAGAAATTCTTAAGTAACAAATAAGAGTGATAAAGCCAAGCTGCGGCTTGCCTGCTACCAGCAGTGATGATTCTACAGAATGGAATAGTCATCTTGACTACTGCCAGAGAAGAACTGATGTCATCCTTCAACAGATGTTTTTGATAGTCAAGTAGGAGATTAAAGAGAAAAGGAAAGGCAGAGAAGAAAGTTATGGTATAACTGACTCATGTAAGGACTGAATATGGACAGCACTGATGCATGCACTGTAAGCCTGAATATTTTGCAGAAGTTCTTAAAAGCTGGTGAATTATATTAGAAAGATAGTTTTCACTTGAAATGCATATAATTAAAATAAACAAAACATTTTGAAGCTACAATGAATGCATGAAAACTTGGCATATTTGTTGCTCCAATTTATGCCTAACCCCATTTATCTTTGTATATTCCATTACCTGTTCTTAACATGACCAACAGCAATCGACAGGCCACTGGACTTGTCATAAAAATAGTAAGTTATTTATTTTGAGCAGGATGGAGGAGCAGGAGTGCTGGTGGGTTTTTTTGGGGGGAGAGGGAAGGGGGGCCAAGTCTCACTTGGAGTTTATATCTCTGCARAAACTTCTTTTCAAGTATTTTTCAGGTATTGAAGGGGACAAACTATTTTACAAGCATTTTAAAAATATTTAAGCAGATAAATTTTAACAACTTCCATACTACTTTAATATTTAACACCATGTATTTTTAAACTAGTGAAAGACTTGCAATCTCAGGAAGAGTCAAAGTAAATCAGTACTCAGAAACAAATCATGCTGCTGTGAACTATAGGACTAAAGCTGGTAAGCAGCTTCAAAGTCTGTGCAGCAAAGTGTGGTAGAGAGCCTTGTCTAACAYTGTCTGAAGAAGCTGGACTGCAAACTCTAAACATTCAGAAAATTATTACTGCAATCATGGACACTAGTGTAGCAGAGATGAGGCAGAAAGTGAAAGCTAATAATTTCTGTAGGCAGTCTTGTGCATTCAATAAACAGAGAACTCTTAATAAATGAATACAATATGGCTGCATATGGAGCTTTAAAGATTACTAAAGTTAAGTAACAAAAATAATTTTCTCCTTTACTTACCTGTCAAAGCCAAGTACAGGACACACATGGAATCCTGACACAGCTGCTGATATCACAACCACCTAACTCACTCCCTGCACTGCCTGCATTAGAAGAAAACTACAGAGCTTGATGAAACAAAACTCTTTATTTTACAGGTGATGGATGAATTCATTAATACAAATCTTACTTGACAGAGAGCCTTCCACTATTTTCACATTAATAACTTTTCCTTTATGCCTTTACTAAAGGCACTTGAACTTGGCATTGTCAGAATGACATCCAGTCATTCATACTGTCAACCAACACCTTAAATGTGGAGTAGAGAAAATTGAGCGTCTTCAACATCACAACTTAAATTCATGTACATTACTCCAGTATGGAGACACATGTATCCACCTAGGTGGTAACTATACTGAGAACAAATGCATGTTTCAGTGTTGTATATATGGGACTTGAGCTGTGTAATTATAGCTAAAGTATTCAATTGTCCTAGTTTTGACTTTAGAGATTTCAAGGTTAGAAAAACATGCAAAATCTGGGCCTTCAGAAGGACAATTACCTAAGAACATCAATTTTCCATACATGGCAAAGGTATAAGGAACATTAGAACTTAGAATTCCTTAAATCTTGTATTTAAAAGTTTTGTATTTTCAAGTAAAACTAAAGTTCTCCATCTTAAAAAAAAGTCTTCTGTAATTTAAAAAGGATAAATGAGTATCTTACATGTACTAGGTGGCTTTGAGCTTGAGATTTCCCCAACAAAAATTGGCTCGTCATCATCATCATCCTCCTCCACTTCTTTCACTCTCTTTTGCCATGGTTCTAGCTCCTCTTCTTCACATTCCATAAACAACTCTGCCATCTCGAGACTAGAGAGTAATAAAGAAATAAAACCACATTACGGCACTTGACAATAACATTTCCACAGAACAACCTACTTATTTCGTGTTTTACACAGGTAAACGTAAACAAACGTAAACAAACAAAGAAAACCTAAGAATCTCCACAACATTTAAACTTCTTTTTGCTAAAATCCACCAGTCAACACGTAAAACAAATACAACACTAAAAAATATCTCTTCAAACATACTTCTATAGCAGGTAAGTGCTTCATCATGGTAGGGTCTTCATATCATGTAATGTATCTAGTACAAACGGGCTATTGAAACACTAGGTAAAACTCTCTTCATATATTAAAAAATAGAAATAAATAGAAATAAAAGCATACTACACTACCACTCCATAAATTTTATAAAGCTTTGCCAGGACTTTACATACCATAACATTTTCTTAAAAACCACTGTGTAATATCCCCATGATTGATTTCAACCAAGTAAGTTTTGTATAGACTTTGATAAGGTTGGGTCCCTAATGCTTGCTGATCACCTCCTCTGCTGGTGGTGAGGGAAGGCTAGTTTGAAAAAAGTAACAAAAAAATATTACATGGTCCTGGGGAATTAAACAAAATATCATTAGCAACATTTGTCACAACTATTTCTGTYTGTTTTGTTGTTTAAACAAAATGTGACAACCAATGACACTTTCCCTGTTCTATTCACCTCCTTCAACACTATCTTGAAAACATTTCTGAGCAATACAGGAAGTATGAAACTATTTTATATATATATATTTTTTTAAATGCTACAATGAAACTAATGTGCAATGAGACTAGAGCAACTTTGCAGAAGATCAGTATTTTCATAAAAACACTGGCTCATCTCAATGATAACTAGGATGATGGCAGTTTCAAAAGTTTTTGAGCCAAAACCACCATAATTTGATTTATCTATTTTGATTTTGATTTATTTGATATATCTATTTTTCAGTAAAGGGTGTGGGGTGGGAGAAGAAACAAGATAATTTGGGTGAAGATCAAGAATTTGGGTGATGAAGAATCTGGGCGAAGAGATGAGATCCTTGAAACTAATGGGTAGTTTTGTTAAATAGATGACATTCAATTCAGCAGTGGACTACTCTAGAAAAAGAAAACAAAGAGATTTAGCAAAGCAAGATCTGATCAGTCGATGAGTAATTCTAGTCTTACTAACAGGCCATTGCTTAGAACTCGGAAAAGGCAGTGCTACTTCTCTCATTCTTGTGCTGATGCAACACTTACCTGACAAAGCGAGCTGGTTAAGTAAGCTAGAGTAGAAATCATTCACATACAATGAGAGCTCTGACAGTTTAACTCTCTAAACSTGACTCCCACTCCCCACCCATCCTTTCAGATCAGCACTAATATCAAAGCAAGAAAGATTCGAGAAACAGATCTGCCTTTTCTCAGCAACAACGCAGAATTGTATTTATATTGTAAGAAAGGTAAATTACTTAAGATAATGTTAATATTTCAGATCTCACCTTTAAAAAACCCTCCAATCTTATGAATATTGTATTTTCACCAATCTGGCAACAAACTCAGTCTAAGAAGTTCCTGTGCTCCAGTACTGCTCCCCAAGCTGTGCTAGTACAACCTTCCATCAGAGTCTGAAGTGAACCAACGTGGGTTAAAAATAACTTGGCCTACAAACAATTGCCCCAGCATAACTGACAGCTTCAAAAATTAGCAGCCTAAGGAATCATAACTGTGGAAAGGGGATAGGGTTGACAACAGACACGCAGGAATTGCTCAGAATGTCTTTGCTGGCAAAAGAAGTGTTCTACATACATTTTTAGAGCACAAATAGTTTCCAAGTTTTCAGCTTTTTAACTAGATGAAGAGTAGATCATGCATTCCAGGAATCCCGCTAGTGGTCAGCCTCAATGCCAGCAACAACATTAAACTCCCTCTCACCCCTCAGTCCCTCACAAATATTTTCCAGCAGAGGTACAGACTCCAGTACAAAAAAATATAAACCTACTGACAATAGACTTCACTTTCGTTTGAAATGCATGTATACGCCTACTTCCCTTGAAAACCCTAAACGTGTATATATACACACACCTCTTCTTGAAAGCAGTCCACAAGTCTGMGATCCAAAATTTCAATAAAGCACCAATACACAAAGAAAGCAAGTAAGCCACAATTCTGAAAATCGTGCCCAAATTCTTCAAGATATCGTTAAAAAAAWAATTACCTAGAACACAGAGATACTGCTTAAAAGGCAAAAAGTAAGTTAGGAGGGGAAAAAAGAAAAAGGCCAATGCTTCTACATCCCTGCCCAGCAAGAACTAAGGCTAGATATGAAAGCTCATGAGGAAGGCACAGATAACCAAAATCCTGTAAAACATGAGTTCATGGAATCCAGTTACTGATGCTACATATTAGACAARTTGTGAACTAAAAACTGATAGGCAAAGAAAATGAATCTGTGCTTAGAAGAACACTAATTTGGACCTTTTAACAGAGCAATTATGTTCAAAGATAACTTTTTACTCAGACAGCTGCATTCATACCCTCTTCCTTAGTGATAAGGCTTACAAGTGTTCACACTAACAGAAACAACAAAAAGAACACAAGTATTAATGAATAACAAGAGTACAAGAGCAGTAGTGAAAACAGGGGAAAGTGTTCTGTAAAAGTGTATTTTGAGGATGTGCAGAAACTAGTTTTAYACAAAGTCATGACAAATACAGCAGCAGCAGGACCTCTGGTTAGTGAAATAGCATTTATTTACCACTACAGATACAATTCACCTGTTCCACTCTTAAGGTCAAGTGATGTTTCCACCACAGCACTCCCTCGGGTTGATTTAAAAATAGCTGAAACACTAGCATGAGGTTGGGAAGTACACTTAAAGAGTAAGAGCATCCACTAACCAGGAAGTTTTCAGACCAGCGGGTCATCTTTCCACCACAGTGTTACTATGCAGTAACAGTGTGGCGCACTACTTKAACACTACTTTTTTTCCAACCTCAAGTGACCAGTGATGTTACTTGCAGTGACACAGCGTAGGGTGCATACCCACTTCACGCATTACTCCCCTTCACGTAGGAGCCCAACACTTGGCACGTTAGCTGAAGGGCAGCGTTGCAGCCTTGAGCTCCATCTGAGCTAGCAGCAGCGCTGCGGTTGTTTCAGCAGCGAAGAGAGGATGATGAAGCAGAAATTGAACCCTGAAGTTTTAAAGAGCCGAAGCATAAGGCAACCGCCCCTGAAGGGCAGAAGGCCACAAAGCGGCCGGCAGCAGCCCCCGCGCGCCGCGGCCGGCGCAGGCTCCGCCTCGCCAGGGGCGCCGCTGGCGAAGGCGGCGAGGCAGGAGTTCACACCCGCGCCCGGCGCGAGGCCGCCGGGGTCCCGGGGCGGCCGCGCCGCCCCCGGCGCCGCTTTCCCCGCAGCGGCCTCGCCGCCGCCCGAGGCGCCAGGGAGCGCCGGGGTCAGGGCGAGGCCGCAGCGGGAGGCGGCGGGCCCGGCAGCTGCGGGGAGGGCGCGGGCCCCGGCACGGCCGCAGGGCGGAGCGAGCCGCGCCCGGGCCATCCACGCGGGCAGCCCCAGCACTCCCGGAGGGAGCCGCGGGGCCCGGGCTCCCGCTCCGGAGCGGCGGCCAAGGGTGCCGCGAGGCCGCGCTCCGACCCAAGATGGCGCCGGCCTCACAGGCGACGCTCCCCCCGCGGGCCGCGCGGGTTTCCCGGGCGTGGGGAGGCCCGGGCGCGGCGGGGCCGCCTTACCGTGCTGCGCGTCTGCAGGGGCGGCGGGCGGGCGCCTCGCGCGCTTCCTCCCAGGCCGCCGCGGGGGAGGGAAGGGCAGGAAAGGGGAGGGGAGAGGCGCGAAGAGGAGGCCGCGGCGCTGGCGGAGCCGCCTCACATCGCCGGGCCGCGGCGCCCCAGCCCGGCCCGAGCACCGCCGGGGGAGGGAGGGAGGCAGGGAGCGAGCGCGGGGGCGGCGGGCGGGCGGCGCGCTGCCTGATGGGTAAAGCGCGGGTCAGCCCCACGGCGGCGCCCGCTTTCCGGAGGGGCGGGGCTGGGCGCGCGGGGCGGGGCATGCGCCATGTGCCGCGCCTCACACCCCACAGCCGTTAAACGGTGACCGTTAAGTGGTGGCCGTTAAATGGTGACCGTTACGGGCCACGCCTGCTTCCCCGGGCCTTATAGCGCCCCGGCTGCAGTACGTGCCATCTGCTGCCTTGTAAGAAGGGAGCAGAGCCTGAGTTGGTGCTGTAGCTGTGGTTTCATCTGGAGCTGAGATGTTCTTCAGCAGTGCAACATCTAGAGCAGTGCTACTGTGGTGGCTGCCATTGTAGGTAGGCGTTGCTCGTGGAGCCAGTGAGTGTGCTGTGTGTGGGCCCTGGGGGTAGGGTGTTGAAGCTTTGGGAAGCCTCTGAGAGTGCAGTAATCTTTTTCTTACAGCATAACCAAGCACAAGTACCTGTTTCTCTAYACTGCCAGGCATATGAGAGAGTAAAGCCTTAGCAGAAGGGTGTGGGAAGTAAACATGAAACATGGACATCTGTTTCTAATGCAGTTTGTGCTGCTGAGCTCAATGGAACCTAAGACACTAGAGGTTCTGTTGGAGTGCACAGTACCCCACCTAACATGTTCAGGGTGGGGTTCATCTTGTGTTTATGATTCTCTTATGGGTGAGTTTTTTCTTTTGCATAACTATTTGCCCAGTGAGTTAAATTATGGAATCAAATATAAGGTCAGTTGTGCCAATTCTTTACTAAATAAAGTATTGCTGCTATTTTTGATGGGACAGACATAAATTATTTGCTAGARGAGGTCTTAAGCACATCCCCTAGCTTCAATGTCTGGAGAACACCATTCTTAACACACAATGTAGCTCAGGGCAGTCTTCATTTATCTCAGCTAAAATTTTCATAGGAAGATCTCTCAACTGATGGCTAAGTAACTCTATGACCTTTTTCTCACTCTAGCCTCCTAACATACTGATTACAATGGTCAAGCTGTCTAAAAAAGCTCTTGAGT